AGCGCTGGTGAAAAACAGTGTTTGATTTTCGAAGGACCATTTTCAGTACATTTTTATTTATTATTGCTTTTCTCAGTTTCAAGTTATTTCAGTGACGATTGTTGATTTTTCTTTCGTTACCAGAGGAAACCAACTAAACCGACTAAACCGACTTCAGCCTCAACTCCTCTGGGCTCAGTTTTAAATGAAATGTTTCTAACAGTTTATCAAAAACATGACTGAAGAAAATAAACTACTACTACTATTACTACTACTACTACTACTACTACTATTACTACTACTATTACTACTGTTACTACTACTACTACTACTGTTACTACTACTACTACTACTGTTACTACTACTGTTACTACTACTACTACTACTACTACTGTTACTACTACTACTACTGTTACTACTACTGTACTACTACTACTACTACTACTACTGTTACTACTGTTACTACTACTACTACTACTCTTACTACTACTATTACTGTTACTACTACTACTACTGCTACTGTTACTACTACTTACTGTTACTACTACTACTACTGTTACTACTACTACTACTATTATTACTTCTATTTCTGTGACATGATGTAAACATCTGTATGAAGTAGGTTTTGTGTGATACTTCGTCGTCGTTCAGAGTTTCTTACAGTCGTTGACGTCTGGTCTCTAAACTCTGGTGTCGCCCCCTGCAGGTGGACCTGTGGACTACAGCCGCCTGCCCCAGTCTGTGCAGTACCTGAGGAGGACACAGGGGGCGCTGCAGTGGAGACCCAGAGGCACACGACGCTTTCTGTGCCCAGAGAGAAGCTTCTGGAACAGACTGCGCTACAACATGCCCCCGGTCCCCTCAGGCAGGACGCTCCAGGTCCCCTCAGACGGGACGCTCCAGGTCCTCTCACGGGGGACGCTCCAGGTCCCCTCAGACGGGACGCTCCAGGTCCAGGTCCCCTCAGACAGGACTCTTCTGGGGCCCGGGGCCTCCAGTCACTCCAGACCCTCCTCCAGCAATAAGGCCGAGGCCAAGTCCAAGTCCTTAAGTCTGAGTCACAGAGGACTGCTCCAGGTCGAGGTCTGAGGTCAGAGTCCAGGACCTCTCAAACCTCACACCAAGTACCACCAAAGATCTGGCTTTAATGTACCAGGACTAAACCAAGTCTAAACCAGGTCTAAACCAGTACTAAACCAGGACTAAACCAGTACTAAACCAGGTCTAAACCAGGACTAAACCAGGACTAAACCAGGTCTAAACCAGGACTAAACCAGGACTAAACCAGGACTAAACCAGGTGGAAAAGTGTATCTCAGGAGCTCAGGGACCCGTGTGGAAGTTCTTAGGATCATTACCTCAAGCTCGTGTTTTTGGATGTTTTTTTTTTTTTGGATGAATCTGTGTGAATCATGTTTTACTCGTTTCTGTTTTTTTGTGTTTTTGTTTTTTTGTGTTTTTGTTTTGTTTTTGTATTTTTGTGTTTTTGTGTATTTTTGTGTTTTTTTTTTGTTTTTTTGTGTTTTTGTATTTTTGTGTTTTGTGTTTTTTTGTGTTTTTGTATTTTTGTTTTTTGTGTTTTTGTATTTTTGTGTTTTTGTGTACTTTTTGGTTTTTGTGTATTTTTGTGTTTTTGTATTTTTGTTTTTTGTGTTTTTGTTTTTTTGTGTTTTTGTATTTTTGTGTTTTTGTGTTTTTTGTGTATTTTTGTATTTTTGTGTGTTTTGTATTTTGTGTTTTGTGTACTTTTTGGTTTTTGTATTTTTGTGTTTTTTTTTGTATTTTTGTGTTTTTTGTGTTTTTGTATTTTTTTTTGTGTTTTTGTATTTTTGTGTTTTTGTGTTTTTTTGTTTTGTGTATTTTTGTGTTTTTGTATTTTTGTATTTTTGTGTTTTTGTGTACTTTTTGGTTTTTGTGTATTTTTGGGTTTTTGTGTGTTTTTGGGTGTTTGCCGTTGTGGCATCAGATAAAACTTCTTCCTGTTCACCTCCTGTTCCTGTGACAGATTCGTTTGAAGAAGCAGATTGTGTGAAGATTAAAACTTCCAAGTAAAACGTTTAAAACTCTGAAAGTTCAAAAAGAGAAGAATACGAGACGTCGGCGTGTAAAAGTCCCAGGCCTCGTTTACAATATGATTTTTAGTAATTAATTAAAATATTTTCCTTTGAGTTTAGATGGAAATAATCATTTTGAATTATTATTTATTATTATTATTATTTAAGAAGAATAAATGTGAAACATGATCGAGGAAGAAATAAATTTGGTTTGAAAATCGGAATAAACCACTGAACCAAGACTAAACCAGGACTAAACCAGGACTAAACCAGGTCTAAACTAGGACTAAACCAGGTCTAAACCAGGTCTAAACCAGGACTAAACCAAGACTAAACCAGGACTAAACTAGGTCTAAACCAGGACTAAACCAGATCTAAACCAGGTCCAAACCAGGATTAAACCAAGACTAAACCAGGACTAAACTAGGTCTAAACCAGGACTAAACCAGTACTAAACTAGGACTAAACCAGGTCCAAACTAGCACTAAACCAGGACTAAACTAGGTCTAAACCAGGTCTAAACCAGGTCCAAACTAGGTCTAAACCAGGACTAAACCAGGACTAAACCAGGTCTAAACCAGGTCCAAACCAGGATTAAACTAGGACTAAACCAGGTCCAAACTAGGACTAAACCAGGTCTCAAGGTGCACTATGTAACTTTCTGGTTTCTTGTTTCTACGGAGACGTGTCGTTGTTTTGTCTGGAATGTTCCACGGTGTGACTTTTATTTTATTTATCCAGTTTATTCAGGTGTTTTTTTTTGTTTTTTTTTTAATGGCTCAGAAACACCAGATCTGACCTGGAACTTGGTCTGGTTTGGTCTCCGTGGAGATAGAAAGGTTTAATGCCACACTGCGGAACATTCCAGACGAAACAAGAACATGGAACAATCTCCAAAAAAACAAAACCAAACCTGGATGGGGAAGCGTGAGGAGGAGGAGGCGTAAACAGTTGGACTTTGTTGTTGTTGTTTATTTGTTTATTTAAGAGCCAGATGTATTTTTATGAAGATCATTTGTATTTTTTTGTATTTTTGTATTAAAATCAGATGAAATCAGAGTAATCGGGTCATGAATCGTGTTTCGTTTGCTCTAAAGATCTGAGGATCACTTCCGACTTTTCCAGGTCTGATTTTTGGAGGCACAGTTCACGTAAATTTACATGAATTTGTTATTTTCTTTGACCAAAAATACACAAAAGGTGAAACAGAAAAAGAAAAACAAAAGAAAAGCAGAAAATTTAAGTTTAAACTTCCCTGTATTCGCACTCCCACCACTGATTTCGCTGATTTCACAACTGATTTCATGGTTTCAACGTGTTTTATTTTTGTCTTTTCCAGTCGTCTTCAAACTGAAATAATCTGAATCTAAACCAGGACTAAAGCAGGACTAAAGCAGGACTAAAGCAGGACTAAACCAGGACTAAATCAGGACTAAACAAGGTCTAAACCAGGACTAATCAGAGACATTAGTTTTGCTTAAAGTATCGATAATCGTATCCTAATCGATACTAAAACTATCAAAACTTGATCCTCATGTTCCTCGGGTCTGGATCCTGAAAAAGTCAAATTTTCAGGACCGAGCAGAACCTTTAGAACCTTTAGAACCTCTAGAACTTTTCCTGAATGTGTTTAGAAGCGAACTGGAGGTGGATCAGAACAAGAATAAAAGACATAAACTAGAATACACACATGGACCTGGTTTAGTCCTGGTTTAGTCTTGGTTTAGTCCTGGTTTTGACTCTGATTATTTCAGTTTAAACATGACTGGAAAAGACAGAAATCAAACAGTTTTCAACCATGAAATCAGTCGTGAAATCAGTGAGTAGTTCATAGTCAGTTTTGTTTTGAGTAAATCTGAGTCACTGAATCTAAAATAATCTAAGTGAAGAGTTTCGGGTAAAACTCTGGTAAATGTTTTGTAGTTTCTTCTTTTAAACATGTATTGACTAAATTTAAGAGTTTTTAACAAGTCGAGTCATGGACGAAATATTTGTGACCATTTGTAAGAGTAGACAAACAATTCAGAGTGAGAAAGTAGAAAATAAATCAGAAATCAAGACAAAAAACCTGGTAGAAGTTTTCAAATCTTTGGTGAGATCAGAGACGTTTGCAGTGAGACGTGCTTCTTCCTGGAGGCGTGACACGACAGAACCCAGAGAAAAACCAGCACAGACGCAGAGACCAGACTCAGACCTGACCTGGACCGAGGTTAGACCAGGACCTGAACCGGACTTGGACCTGAAGAGCCGGTGGACCTGATGGAGTCTGAACCGGGGCTGATGTTTGTGCTGCTCCTCAGTCTGATGTGGACGTCTCCACGGTCAGGTACAAAAACCCAAGCACACAAGAAACAACAAGACCTGGTTTAGTCCTGGTTTAGTCCTGGTTTAGTCCTGGTTTAGACCTGGTTTAGTCCTGGTTTAGACCTGGTTTAGACCTGGTTTAGAGGTTTAGTCCCCTGGTTTAGACCTCCTGGTTTAGTCCTGGTTTAGACCTGGTTTAGACCTGGTTTAGTCCTGGTTTAGACCTGGTTTAGACCTGGTTTAGTCCTGGTTTAGTCCTGGTTTAGTCCTGGTTTAGACCTGGTTTAGTCCTGGTTTAGAGACCTGGTTTAGTCCTGGTTACCTGGTTTAGACCTCCTGGTTTAGACCTCCTGGTTTAGTCTAGACCTGGTTTAGACCTGGTTTAGACCTGGTTTAGTCCTGGTTTAGTCCTGGTTTAGACCCTGGTTTAGTCCTGGTTAGACCTGGTTTAGTCCTGGTTTAGACCTGGTTTAGTCCTGGTTTAGACCTGGTTTAGTAGTCCTGAGATCCTGGTTTAGACCTGGTTTAGACCTGGTTTAGTCCTGGTTTAGTCCTGGTTTAGTCCTGGTTTAGAGGTTGTTAGTTTAGTCCTGGTTTAGACCTGGTTTAGTCCTGGTTTAGACCTGGTTTAGTCCTGGTTTAGTCCTGGTTTAGTCCTGGTTTAGACCTGGTTTAAGTCCTGGTTTAAAAGATGAGACCTGTTTTTAGTCCTGGTTTAGGTTTAGTGCCTGGTTTAGTCCTGGTTTAGACCTGGTTTAGTCCTGGTTTAGTCCTGGTTTAGTCCTGGTTTAGACCTGGTTTAGTCCTGGTTTAGGTCTGGTTTAGTCCTGGTTTAGTCCTGGTTTAGTCCTGGTTTAGACCTGGTTTAGACCCTGGTTTAGTCCCTGGTTTAGTCTTCCCTGACGTGGGATTCAGTTGGAGAAACACTGAAAAAAACATGATGTAGATAAATTAAATGTTAAATTAACATTTCACTTTATTATAGAAAAATTATCCAACAGTGGAATAAAAGTGTTTTTCTGAATTCAAGCAACATTCATTTTGTTTCTTATTTTAAGTGTAAAAAAAATTGTTGTTTTTCTTATTTCTTTCTTGTCCAGTCAGATGTATTTTCATATTTTAAATACAAAAACTTTTGTTCCTCTGCAGATCATTTTACGTCAAGTGAAATTTACTGAAATTCTGATCAAACTTTCTTAATTCGAGTCTGAACTTGAGTAGATTTTGTTTTTTACAGTGAATTGTCTGTGTGAATGATTCTAGTCTTTGTCCTTCCAGAACCTGTGGAGACCCTGGGCCCCGAGACCCCGGAGACCCCGGGCCCCGAGACCCCGGGCCCCGAGATCCTGGACCCTGAGACCCCGGGACCCGAGACCCCGGGCCCCGAGACCCCGAGCTCCGAGACCCCGGGCCCCGAGCGTGTGGACTGCAAGGGTTCAGAGGTGCAGCCCTTGTTCCTGATGGAGGGCGAGTCACTGTGGTTCGTCCCGGAGGACCTGGAGGACCTGGAGGACCCGGAGGACCCGGAGGACCTGGAGGACCCGGAGGACCTGGAGGCTCCGGTGACGTGGTTCTGGAACAGGTCGGGGGCCGTGGTGCCGCTGTCGTCGGAGGAGACGGAGCCCGTCCACGCCCACGGCAACGCGCTGTGTCTCCTCAACGTCACCAGGGGGAGCTCCGGCTGCTTCCTCGCCTGGTACGTCCTGATCCGGGTCTAAACCGGGTCTAAACCAGGACTAAACCAGGTCTAAACCAGGACTAAACCAGGACTAAACCAGGTCTAAACCAGGACTAAACCAGGTCTAAACCAGGACTAAACCAGGACTCTAAACCAGGACTAAACCAGGTCTAAACCAGGTCTAAACCAGGTCTAAACCATAAACCAGGACTAAACCAGGACTAAACCAGGTCTAAACCAGGTCTAAACCAGGACTAAACCAGGTCTAAACCAGGACTAAACCAGGTCTAAACCAGGACTAAACCAGGACTAAACCAGGTAAACCAGGACTAAACCAGGACTAAACCAGGTCTAAACCAGTAAACCAGGTCTAAACCAGGTCTAAACTAAACCAGGACTAAACCAGGTCTAAACCAGGTAAACCAGGTAAACCAGGACTAAACCAGGTAAACCAGGTAAACCAGGTCTAAACCAGGTCTAAACCAGGACTAAACTAAACCAGGACTAAACCAGGTCTAAACCAGGACTAAACCAGGGTCTAAACCAGGACTAAACCAGGACTAAACCAGGACTAAACCAGGTCTAAACCAGGACTAAACTAAACCAGGACTAAACCAGGTCTAAACCAGGACTAAACCAGTAAACCAGGTAAACCAGGTAAACCAGGACTAAACCAGGAAACTAAACCAGGACTAAACCAGGACTAAACCAGGAACTAAACCAGGTAAACTAAACCAGGACTAAACCAGGACTAAACCAGGACTCTAAACTAAACCAGGACCTAAACCAGGAAACTAAACCAGGTAAACCAGGACTAAACCAGGACTAAACCAGGTCTAAACCAGGACTAAACCAGGACTAAACCAGGTCTAAACTCTAAACCAGGACTAAACCAGGACTAAACTAAACCAGGACTAAACCAGGTAAACCAGGACCCGGTAAACCAGGTCTAAACCAGGACTAAACCAGGACTAAACCAGGTCTAAACCAGGACTAAACCAGGTCTAAACCAGGACTAAACCAGGAAACCAGGACTAAACCAGGAAACTAAACCAGGTCTAAACCAGGTCTAAACCAGGACTAAACCAGGACTAAACCAGGTCTAAACCAGGACTAAACCAGGAAAACCAGGACTAAACCAGGACTAAAGGACTAAACCAGGACTAAACCAGGACTAAACCAGGTCTAAACCAGGACTAAACCAGGACTAAACCAGGACTAAACCAGGACTAAACCAGGTCTAAACCAGGACTAAACCAGGTCTAAAACAGGAGTGAGAGTGTCGGGACGGTCCAGAGGTACGTCCACGTAGACAGGTGATCAGGACTAAGACCAGGACTGAACCAGGTCCTGGTCTCAGTCCTGGTCTGGTCGCAGTTTAAGTCACGTAAACGGGAAATGGTCGTTATCCTTTTTTTTTTTCCATTTTTCATTTAAACACAAAATCGAAAAATGAAAAAATGAATTATCTGTTTTTTCATTTTGGTTTTGGAGACAAATAATGAAGAAAATTCTAGTTTTTTTTCTTTCGGTTTTATTTTGAAAAACAAATGTTCGAGTGACACACGGACCGAGAGGGACGTGTTTCAGTTTTGGTGTTTGTGGTCAAGGATGTGACGTTTCTCGTGTTTCGTTTCTCGTGTTTCGTTTCTCGTGTTCGTTTCTCGTGTTCTTGTGTCTCGTGTTTCGTGTCTCGTGTTTCGTTTCTCGTGTTTCATGTCTCGTGTTTTGTGTCTCGTGTTTCGTGTCTCATGTTTCGTGTTTTGTGTCTCGTTTCTCGTGTCTTCGTGTCTCGTTTCTCGTTTCGTGTTCTCGTTTCTCGTGTCTCGTTTCTCGTGTCTCGTTTCTCGTGTTTCGTGTCTCGTGTTTCGTGTGTCTCATGCCTCGTGTTTTGTGTTTCGTGTCTCGTGTTTCGTGTTCGTGTCTCGTGTTTTGTGTTTCGTGTTCTCGTGTTTCGTGTTTCGTGTCTCGTGTTTCGTGTTTCGTGTTTCTCGTGTTTCGTGTCTCGTTTTCGTGTCTCGTGTTTTGTGTCTCGTTTCTCGTGTTTCGTGTCTCGTGTTTTGTTCTCGTGTTCTCGTGTTTCGTCGTGTTTCGTGTCTCGTGTTTTTGTGTTTCGTGTCTCGTGTTTTGTGTCTCGTGTTTTTCTCGTGTTCTCGTTTCTCGTGTTTTGTGTCTCGTGTTTCGTCTCGTGTCTCGGTTCTCGTGTTTCGTGTTCGTGTTCTTCTTCAGGTCGAAGGATTCTGAAGTGAAGTCGGTGAGTGTGACCGTGGTTCCGGAGGACGACCCCGATCGCTTCTTCTCTGTGAACGGACAGCGACACCAACATCTTCATCGAATTGCCCCGGAAACGCCCCCAGCACCTGCGACCACACCAACGGCACCTTCTCCTGGTACAAGGTGAGAACTTCGCCAAAATCCAAATCTCTCCATTTGATACTTTCATGATTTTGCGAAGGCGAACAAAACTGCGGTCTGTGTACTGCTCGTTCTTTTTGAATTTCAATTAAGAACGAAAAACAATAAAATGGGAAAACAGTTTTCTATTTCATTTTCCCGTTTTAGGCCCCACCCACCCACCGTACACCGTAGTCTTTTTGTTGTGGAGGCAGATGGAACGATCTGGTGCCTCCAGCTCCACGAGTTCATGTTGGTCCAGACGTGACAGGGACTGTGTGGACTCCTGAAAACACTGATACTCTGATGCAGGAGCTCGAGTCTACGACAGGTCAAACTGTTCACATTTACACACATATTTAACGCGTTTAACACCTTATTTGAGGCGTATTACAAACTTATTTAACACGTCGAATTATTCTCCATATGATAATGATCCTCCCACTGTTTTTCCACTCAGTGAGTTTAAAGTGTTTCAGCCGATCACCGATCAACACAAAGAGTCCAGAACAACAACACACCATTTTTACTCTTAAAAAATAAACCTCACACTGTGTAAATCATCGTCTATCAAATGGACCCAGTCAAGCAGAAGTAAACATCAAGGCCAAAACTTCAAGTGAATTCATCTGATATAAAAGTGTATTGAACAGATACATATGTACTCGAGTTTATCAAACTGTTGACCTTTTTTCTGTTCCATTTTTGGTTCTAAAGTTCCATCCGTTTTAAACAGACCATGAATGAAACATGGAACAAAAATTATTTCCCAAATTTCAAAGACCTGAAAACCATGTAAATAAATGTTTGTATTTCATCATATCTTGTGTTATTCCATCTTTGAACTGTTGATGAAGGTTCATGGTTTAAAAAAAAAAAAGTATTTAAAATGATAAAAATGTTCTTGGAAGGACTGACATATTTTATACAAATAGTTTCTTTCATTTTGAAGTAATATTAAAGTTTTCAGAAGAAAAAAGTGACAAATGATGTAAAATCCTGCACCTTCTACTTGTTTGTACAATTTTCCCTCCGTTACTTTTCCCTCCGTTACCATGAACTTTCTTCATAAAAAATCTCATGAGTCAAAAAGTCAGAGGTTTTTCAACCTAATCTTGTACCATATGGTAGAAAACTATATGAAGCAAATATTCAAACCAGTTTGTTAAGGATATGGAAGTGAGAACCAAGAGTTATCACTGTTTGGATTTATTGACCAAAAAGTGCTGCATATTTCATTCCCTCCGTTACCAACATGAGTTTTTAATTTTTTGTCTTGAACTTGAAAGAATCTCACAGGTTTAACTTGACCCTGTTGGAGTGTAACTCTTTCCTACATTCTGATACTTTACTTATTTCAATAGTTCCTCTAGTTTCTGAATAAGAGACATTTGAATGTCAAAAATCTGACCCTGTTTCCTCCGTTACACCTTGATTGGACCCAGATTTAAAACAGTTTTCGTGCACCTCAACGTGTTTATCTTTTCAGTTTGTCGCTCATTAAGAAAATGATTCACTCGCTCGGACCAGACTAGAGATGCGCGGATTGCGGTTACAGCCGCGGACTCCATGGCTACACCTCGGGTCGGGCGGATGATGTGATGAAAAATAATATTTTAATTAAATTCGGGCGGGTGGCGGTTTTACTACTCAAATAAAAAACTCTGAACTCGGAGCAAATGGGAGGAGAGCGAGCGGACGGCGGGCGGGTGCGGTTTTGAAAACTGGTTAAAAACTGTGGTTGCAAATGGACAGCGGGCGGATGATGAGTTTTGTGATGCGGTTGTGGATGAAAAAGTCGCCCATCTGCGCATCTCTGGACCACACCAACAACGAGGCAGAGACGGCTGGTTCAGACTCTGGGTGGGGGCTCCATCTCAATCTGCAATTGGCCCAGCCGGAACGGGGACCCCCCCTCGTAGGCGTCTTATGACTGAAGGACAGAACAGGGGACGGGAGGGTGGGGTCGAGTTCGCTGAGATAAACTGGGATGACGGGAAAAGCTGCTACAAACAGGCTTCTGGGAAATTGGAGGCGTGGTTCTCTGGTGAGAGGAGCGGGCGGCTGAGGCGTCGTCCTGCTCCTGAATCACTTCATCATATTAACTACATTTATTGAATTGTCTGTGTACAATTGTCAGAGGAGGAGAATATGAAACACACCAACTCATCCTGCTGCTGCTCGGACTCGTCTGACTCTTTGTGTTGGTCGGTGATTGGCTGAAAACATTTTAAACTCACAGGTGGAGGATCATTATCATATGGAGAATAATTTGACACATTAAATAAGTTTGTAATACGTGTCAAATAAGGTGTTAAACGTGTTAAATATATGTGTAAATGTGAACAGTTTGGCTTGTCGTACGAGTCTCGTCCTTACTGGACACTGTGTCACTGTGACTCGCTCCTTCCTGATTCTCTGGGTTCGTGACGTCGTCATGTGACTCTGTTGTGGAAAACACTTTAAACAAACGAGAAACACAGAACAGACTCACCATCAGCAGAACACCCCTCTGTCACAGAGAGAACACCCCTCTGTCACACAGAGAGAACACCCCTCTGACACTCTGTCACAGAGAGAACACCCTCTGTCACACAGAGAACACCCTCTGACACAGAGAGAACACCCCTCTGTCACACAGAGAGAACACCCCTCTGACACAGAGAGAACACCCCTCTGTCACAGAGAGAACACCCCTCTGACACAGAGAGAACACCCCTCTGACACAGAGAGAACACCCCTCTGTCACAGAGAGAACACCCCTCTGACACAGAGAGAACACCCCTCTCACAGAGAGAACACCCCTCTGACACAGAGAGAACACCCCTCTGACACAGAGAGAACACCCCTCTGACACAGAGAGAACACGAGAGAACACCCCTCTGACACAGAGAGAACACCCCTCTGACACAGAGAGAACACCCTCTGACACAGAGAGAACACCCCTCTGACACAGAGAGAACACCCCTCTGACACAGAGAGAACACCCCTCTGACACAGAGAGAACACCCCTCTCTTCACAGAGAGAACACCCTCTGACACATCTGACACAGGAGAGAACACCCCTCTGACACAGAGAGAACACCCTCTGACACACAGACACTTTCCAGTTCACAGCTTCGTTCACATCCATTTTTCAGTTAATCTGATGTTTTTTCTCGTTCACATTTCCAGTTAAATGTGACTTGTATGTGACTCCAGTGTGAACATTAAACGGTCCAAAAGTGTCCCACATGTGACACTGGAGACACGACGACGTCAACCGCAGCGAGCGTCTCTGTGTTTACACAAGTTGAACAAACATGGACGCAGCATCGAGCACCTGGAGATTTTAAAGTTCCTCTCGTACCGGAGCCACAACATGAACAACTGACTTGTTTTAAGGAGGAGATTGAGAAGGAGAAGGACCAGGTTTTTGGTGGTGGTGTTTTGTGGTGAGTGGAGATGTGCTTCACTTCAGTCACATGGATCATGAACAGTTTTCTCTACTTCAGTGCAGAATAGTGACGTTTGTGTCTTGTTGATGACGTGTAGGTGGATGAATGTGACCTGACTGTTCACACTCAAGTCACATGTTAAAGATCAGATATGGATCAGTTTCAGGAGCACAGATCCAAGTGTCCTGGGTCATGTTTGAAAACATCACATCTGTGTGGTTCAGACATTAAAAGATCAGATACAGGAACATAGAGATAAAAAATCAGATTTGGGAAACTTCAGGTGCAGACTGAACGTCGCCTTAGTTTATGCAAATGAGTCAGGTGGTTTTAAGTTTTGTTTCTGAAAACGTAAACAAATGTGCTCAAAGTTATAAAGGAAGGACTGTGGACACAAAAACGACGTGTGTGGACGCTTTTCAATACAGGTGATTTGTTTCAGTGTAAACGTGACCCTAGTGTCAAACCCCCCCCCCCCAAAAAAAAAAAAAAAAACTGATTTCGACTTCTATTTCCAATATTTAATTTAAAGTTTATTTCAAAAAAACACCAATACAAAACGTGAAGAATCCCTCAGTCGTCCAAGTAGAATCCAGAGGAGAAAATTCTGTTTGTCGACTGGAACCAAACTAACTTTTGTCTAGTCGACAAACTGAATTTTCTCCTCGTCACAATACAAAAATAACACCAAAAACAGTCTCTGTATTTTATTCTCTCTGGTTTATCTGAAGTTCTGCTGCTCAGCGTCGCCTGTGTCGACCGTCGATCTGTAATAAAAACTAGTTTTGTAATATTTCTGTGGAGTCACTGAAAAAAGGAGAGTTTGTCGCTGCTTCTGTTTCTCGTCGTGGATCAACGACGACTTTCTAAAACGTGAAAGGAAATGTGTCGCTTTAAAAGAAGAAACATGTTTGTCCATGAAACTGCAACGATTTTTCAGGTTTGTCCTTCAGCAGCAGAACTTTAAATAAACCAGGGAGAATAAAATATCAGAATTAAAATATGAGTCGAGACTGTTTTTTGATTGGTGATATTTGAAATAAACTTTACGTTAAATATTGGAAATAGAGGGTGAAATCTGTTTTTTTTTACACTAAAACAGAATAATAAAAAAAAAAAAACTGTTTTCTCCTTTTATTGTTTTTCATTCTTAATTGAAATTCAGGTGTTTGTTTAGTTCAGCGCTGCAGGGGGAGTCACTGTTTTACCCAGATACAACTGGAAGAAAAACTGTGATTGGTCCATTTCCATTTCATTTTATTAACCCTTTGGTTCAGTCCAAGTGTAAAAAAATGATCTAGAAACAGTGTGTGGAGTAACAGATTACATGTACCAGAGTTATGTAATCAGAGTACAAATGATGAGTAACTGTATTCAGTTACAGTTACTGTTTCAGTGAGTGGTAATTGGATTACAGTTACTTTGTTGAAATAAATGGATTACACAGAGGGATTTTACTGTTTTCACCTTTTGGGTTATATCCCTTTTTTTTTTTCCTCAGTAATTCCACTCATTGCCAGAAACTAAACCAGGTCTAAAACCAGAACTAAACCAGGACTAAAGCAGGATTTAACAGGACCGTGCTGACGTCTTTCTTCTTCTATCAATAATATTTTTAATTTGGTTCAGTAAAGACTCGGCCTTTTTATTTTCTTTTATCAGATAAAACATCTTATGTTATTTCCTCATCTTTGTTTCTCTACAGCAAATCAAGTAATCCAAAGTAATCAGATTACATTACTCACTTTAAGTAACTTAATGGATTCTGTTACAAACTTCATTCTGGAGTATGTAATCTGTAATCTGTAGGGGATTACATTTTAAAAGTAAACTTCCCAACACTGATCTAGAAATTATTACTAGTGTCGTGTTTATTACTCACTGAATAAAAAATATTGAACAAATATATAAGTTGTACAAAAATTCATTAAATCATTTTTCTTGAGCCTTTAAAAAACCTTAAAGACTCTGAGGTTTCAACTCTGAAATACTTTTTTACAACAAATGTTTGACTCTTTCATTTACATTTTAAATAAAAGTCACTATTCGAACACTTTTTAATTCATTCATTGGTTTTGCGAATAACATTTGATTAATCACGATTAATCGCACTCGAACTCATGCGATTAATGTGATTAATTTATTTATTTTTTTGCCCAGCGCTAATAACAACATAAGGAAAATGTACTAAAATTGCTCTTAGATCTGGAGGTTAAAGATCTCAGGAGTCGGTTTTTACAGTCCTGTTAAATCCTGGTTTAGTCCTGGTTTAGTCCTGGTTTAGATCTGGTTTAGTCCTGGTTTAGACCTAGTTTAGTCCTGGTTTAGACTTGGTTTAGATCTAGTTTAGTCCTGGTTTAGACCTGGTTTAGATCTAGTTTAGTCTGGTTTAGTTTAGACCTGTTTTTAGTCCTGGTTTAGACTGGTTTAGACTAGTTTAGTCCTGGTTTAGACCTGGTTTAGACCTAGTTTAGTCCTGGTTTAGACCTGGTTTAGACTTGGTTTAGATCTAGTTTAGTCCTGGTTTAGACCTGGTTTAGATCTAGTTTAGTCCTAGTTTAGTCCTGGTTTAGATCTAGTTTAGTCCTGGTTTAGACCTGGTTTAGATCTGTTTAGTCCCTGGTTTAGACCTGGTTTAGTCTGGTTTAGTCTGGTTTTAGACTGGTTTAGTCCTGGTTTAGACCTGGTTTAGACCTGTTTAGTCCTGATTTAGAACTGGTTTAGACCTGGTTTTAGTCCTGGTTTAGACCTGGTTTAGACCTGGTTTAGACCTGGTTTAGTCCTGGTTTAGACCTGGTTTAGATCCTGGTTTAGTCCTGGTTTAATACTGGTTTAGATCTAGTTTAGTCCTGGTTTAGTCCCTGGTTTAGACTGGTTTAGTCCTGGTTTAGACCTGGTTTAGACCTGGTTTAGTCCTGGTTTAGTCCTGGTTTAGACCTGGTTTAGACTGGTTTAGTCCTGGTTTAGACCTGGTTTAGACCTGGTTTAGTCCTGGTTTAGTCCTGGTTTAGACCTGGTTTAGTCCTGGTTTAGTCCTGGTTTAGTCCTGGTTTAGATCTAGTTTAGTCCTGGTTTAGACCTGGTTTAGATCCTGGTTTAGTCCTGGTTTTAGACCTGGTTTAGACCTGGTTTAGACCTGGTTTAGTCCTCCTGGTTTAGACCTGGTTTTAGACCTGGTTTTAGTCCTGGTTTAGACCTGGTTTAGACTTGGTTTAGACCTGGTTTAGTCCTGGTTTAGACCTGGTTTAGTCCTGGTTTAGTCCTGGTTTTAGACCTGGTTTAGATCTAGTTTAGTCCTGGTTTAGACCTGGTTTAGTCCTGGTTTAGTCCTGGTTTAGACCTGGTTTAGTCCTGGTTTAGTCCTGGTTTAGACCTGGTTTAGACCTGGTTTTAGTCCTGGTTTAGACCTGGTTTAGACCTGGTTTAGTCCTGGTTTAGACCTGGTTTAGACCTGGTTTAGTCCTGGTTTAGTCCTGGTTTAGACCCTGGTTTAGACCTGGTTTAGTCCTGTTTTTTAGTCCTGGTTTTAGACCTGGTTTAGTCCTGGTTTAGTCCTGGTTTAGACCTGGTTTAGTCTGGTTTAGTCCTGGTTTAGACCTGGTTTTAGTCCTGGTTTAGTCCTGGTTTAGACCTGGTTTAGACCTGGTTTAGTCCTGGTTTAGACCTGGTTTAGACTGGTTTAGTCTGGTTTAGTCCTGGTTTAGACCTGGTTTAGATCCTGGTTTAAGTCCTGGTTTAGACCTGGTTTAGTCCTGGTTTAGTCCTGGTTTAGACCTGGTTTAGACCTGGTTTAGTCCTGGTTTAGACCTGGTTTAGACCTGGTTTAGTCCTGGTTTAGTCCTGGTTTAGACCTGGTTTAGATCCTGGTTTAGTCCTGGTTTAGACCTGGTTTAGACCTGGTTTAGTCCTGGTTTAGACCTGGTTTAGTCCTGGTTTTAGTCCTGGTTTAGACCTGGTTTAGACCTGGTTTTTAGTCCTGGTTTAGACCTGGTTTAGACTTGGTTTAGTCCTGTTTTAGTCCTGGTGTAGACCTGGTTTAGACCTGGTTTAGTCTGGTTTAGTCCTGGTTTAGACCTGGTTTAGATCCTGGTTTAGTCCTGGTTTAGACCTGGTTTAGATCTGGTTTAGTCTGGTTTAGACCTGGTTTAGTCTGGTTTAGTCTGGTTTAGACCTGGTTTTAGTCCTGGTTTAGTCCTGGTTTAGACCTGGTTTAGACCTGGTTTAGTCCTGGTTTAGACCTGGTTTAGACCTGGTTTAGTCCTGTTTTAGTCCTGGTTTAGACCTGGTTTAGATCTGGTTTAGTCCTGGTTTAAGACCTGGTTTAGTCCTGGTTTAGACCTGGTTTAGTCCTGGTTTAGTCCTGGTTTAGACCTGGTTTAGACCTGGTTTAGTCCTGGTTTAGTCCTGGTTTAGTCCTGGTTTAGACCTGGTTTAGACCCTGGTTTAGACCTGGTTTAGTCCTGGTTTAGACCTGGTTTAGACCTGGTTTAGTCCTGGTTTAGTCCTGGTTTAGACCTGGTTTAGACCTGGTTTAGTCCTGGTTTTAGTCCTGGTTTAGACCTGGTTTAGACCTGGTTTTAGTCTGGTTTAGTCCTGGTTTAGACCTGGTTTAGACCTGGTTTAGTCCTGGTTTAGAACCTGGTTTAGACCTGGTTTAGTCCTGGTTTAGTCCTGGTTTAGTCCTGGTTTAGACCTGGTTTAGTCCTGGTTTAGTCCTGGTTTAGTCCTGGTTTAGTCCTGGTTTAGACCTGGTTTAGTCCTGGTTTAGTCCTGGTTTAGTCCTGGTTTAGACCTGGTTTAGTCCTGGTTTAGACCTGGTTTAGATCTGGTTTAGTCCTGGTTTAGTCCTGGTTTTAGACTGGTTTAGACCTGGTTTAGTCCTGGTTTAGTCCTGGTTTAGACCTGGTTTAGATCTAGTTTAGTCCTGGTTTAGACCTGGTTTTAGACCTGGTTTAGATCTGGTTTAGTCCTGGTTTAGACCTGGTTTAGTCCTGGTTTAGTCCTGGATGGGTTAAAGCTCTCAGGAGTTTAAATGAGCAGAACCTTCACGTTGGTCTGGGCGTCTCACCTGTCTGGTCAGGACGGAGCTCACCTGCCCGGGGAACACGAGGACCTTCTGCTGCTGACCAACACCAGCGCCAAGGACAAGGGCCGATACGACTGCGTGTGCACCTGGACTCACCAGCGCCACCTGTACCGCACGGTGGCCTCCACAGTACTGCACATCGAGGGTAAGAGCACAAACATGACACAATAAACACATATCGCAGGAGAGTCAAACTCATTTTGTTCCGGGGGTCGTGTCCAACCGACTTTGATCCAAAGTGTCCGGATCAGAAAACTCATGTCATATAAACCCCAAAAATAACAAGAAGTTCAAATATTTGTGCAGAGAAACACAAATCTATTACACAAATCTTTTTAAATTGATGAACTCTTTCTTTTACAAATATAATATTATGAACAACCTGAAAATTGAAGAAAAATACAATTTCAACACAAAGTTTGAACATGAACTTGTCTGTAAACAGAATAAATCCATTTTTGTTGTAAAATCCTGCACTCGGCTCCACTTTTCTCATGTTGGACATTTTTCTGATGAGGGTGTCACGGTCAACAGTCAAAACGATCGTCCTTTAAGAGCGTTTGGAAAGAGACAAGTCTTCATTTGTGCTGCTCTGGTGGGAGGGGCCACGTACAGAGACGCTGGAGACGCTGCTGTGATAAACACCACACAAAATTAACAACCATTTTAATAGAAAATATCATTCAAATATTTTAGTAGAAAATCAGCCGAGGGCCAGATTAAAGGTCTTGGAGGGCCGGATCTGGCCCCCAGGCCGTATGTTTGACACCTGTGACATATCGCATCGTTTAATGTGATGATACAGTATCGGTATCGTGAGCTGCTGTATTGATATATCGACCAAGAGTCTTTTTTAGGTTTATTTTCCTAAATTATTTTGTGTAAGAGCTGCAGTTGTGTTGACATTTTCACCGTTTTAAGTAAAATGTCACTAAAATTTCATCTTCTTCTTAACTTCGCACAGCTGATTTAGATTTTGTTTTTCACTCAACCGTATCGAACTGATTTGAAATATATCGTATTGAATCAAAAGTGAACCGTATCGAAAAAGCGTAACGTATCGTGACCTATGTATCGTATCGACAGCTTCTTAACGATGATCGGCTCTAGACGTGACAAGATAAGTAGAAAACTGTAAGAACTGAAACTGTACAGACGAGTCTCTGTAAAATACTCATAGGTTTAAATTTTCATCCGTGCACGTTTGAGTCATTTAGCGATCTGTCCCAGGTTCTATTTGAATGGTTAGCATCATGGAGAGCAAAGGGACGGGAGACACATTTTCAAAACTATAAAAGGAACCACAAAAGATGTTCCTCCACAGCAGAGTAGTCCTGGTTTAGTCCTGGTTTAGATCTAGTTTAGTCCTGGTTTAGATCTAGTTTAGACCTGGTTTAGTCCTGGTTTAGATCTAGTTTAGTCCTGGTTTAGATCTAGTTTAGACCTGGTTTAGTCCTGGTTTAGATCTAGTTTAGTCCTGGTTTAGATCTAGTTTAGACCTGGTTTAGATCTAGTTTAGACCTGGTTTAGTCCTGGTTTCGTCCTGGTTTAGACCTGGTTTAGTCCTGGTTTAGATCTAGTTTAGTCCTGGTTTAGATCTAGTTTAGTCCTGGTTTAGATCTAGTTTAGACCTGGTTTAGTCCTGGTTTAGTCCTGGTTTAGACCTGGTTTAGTCCTGGTTTAGATCTAGTTTAGACCTGGTTTGGTCCTGGTTTTAGACCTGGTTTAGACCTGGTTTAGTCCTGGTTTAGATCTAGTTTAGACCTGGTTTAGTCCTGGTTTAGATCTAGTTTAGACCTGGTTTGGTCCTGGTTTTAGACCTGGTTTAGACCTGGTTTAGTCCTGGTTTAGATCTAGTTTAGACCTGGTTTAGTCCTGGTTTAGCCCAAAATGTGAAAACAGTTAAATCCCTCTGTTTAATCCATTTATTTCAACAAAGTAACTGTAATCCAATTCCCACTCACTGAAACAGTAACTGTAACTGAATACAGTTACTCATCATTTGTAATCTGATTACTCCGGTACATGTAATCTGTTACTCCCGACACTGGTCGTACGTCACAGTGACGTGAACCGCTGGAGCTGAACACGGGAGGAGATTTGCAGAACAGCGTCTAGAAAATAAACGATTAAAGATTCTTCAAACATGAACCGCTCCAAATGAACTCCAGAAGGTCAGAGAAGAAACAACGAGAACTAGAGAAAGATCTGAGGACCTGGTTTAGTCCTGGTTTAGACCTGGTTTAGTCCTGGTTTAGACCTAGTTTAGTCCTGGTTTAGACCTAGTTTAGTCCTGGTTTAGACCTAGTTTAGTCAACTCGGACTAGAGAAAGATCTGAGGAGAAGAGTTTTCAGAACATCTCTGATCACACGTCCACAATATTCTGTCCGTTAAAACTACACAAAGTGAAGAGTGAAGCTGTGGAGCTCTGGTCTAACGCTGAGATGTTTCCAGAAAAGAGATTGTACCAGGACGTCAGGATCCTCGCTCCCACTGGACCAGTGCAGCTCGCCGACTCAGGTAACTCCACATCACACACACTTCAGCTCCAACCTGGAGTTTAGAAGAACCACAGGAACCCGCCGGAGGATCTAAGGCTGAGGGAGCTTGGAACCTCATACAGGAGTAACGGAAGATCTAAACAAGCTTTAAAGGTCATCAGAAAAATCTTAAAATCAATTCTAAAACACTCAGTAGTAAGTGAACAAGCTCCAGACTCCAGACCTGCTCCACCTGACTTCTTCTGTGTGTTCTGACCCATGGAGATGTTTCTGTGATCTGTGGTCTTCTTCTGTGTTCTGATCTGTGGAGATGTTTCTGGAGATGTTTCTGTGATCTTTGTGGTCTTCTTTTGTGTGTTCTGACCTGTGGAGATGTTCTGTGATCTGTGGTCTTCTGTGTGTTCTGACGTGTGGAGATGTTTCTGTGGTCTTCTTCTGTGTCTTCTGACCCATGGAGATGTTTCTGGAGATGTTTCTGTGATCCCTGTGGTCTTCTTCTGTGTGTTCTGACGTGTGGAGATGTTTCTGGAGATGTTTCTGTGATCTCCGTGGTCTTCTTCTGTGTGTTCTGCAGGAGCCAGTCTGCTGCTCAACTGCACCGTGATGTGCGGCACCAACGTTCCTCCACAACACTGTGTGGCGCTGTGGAAAGCCGACAAGTCGGACCTCAGATCAGACGGGTACAACCGGACCAAGCAGTGAGTCCTTCAACATCTCACGGAACATCTTACATCTCACAAAACCGACTCTTGTGAGGTTTAAGTCGTGTTCTAACGTTGTTCCCTCGTCAAAAACAGAACAGACCTGGAGAATCCGTGTGTCGTTCGTTCATTCGTTTTTCATTATAAAACCAAAAATAAGAAAACGAAAAAAACAACAGTTTTCTTCATTATTTGTCTCCAAAACCAAAATGAAAAAACGGATGATTTGTTTTTTCAGTTTTCGACTTTGTGTTTAAATGAAAAATGCAAAAAAAACGGATAACGGCCGTTTCCCGTTTACGTGACTTTGGTGACTCAGATGTCGGACTTTTGCACCGTGTACAGACTGAACCAGGACTGATCCAGGACCGAGACCAGACCAGGACCAAAGCGGGACTGAGACCGGGACGAGACCAGGACCAGACCGGGACCAGATCGGGACTGAGACCGGGACCAGATCGGGACTGAGACCGGGACCAGAGCGGGACTGAGACCGGGATCAGACCGGGACCAGACCGGGACCAGACCGGGACCAGACCGGGACCAGACCGGGACCAGGGCGGGACCAGAGTGGACTCTGAGCTTTGACTCTGAGTCTCCGCGGGGTCCGAGCCTCAGCTTCGAGCTGCTGTGGGCTCTGAGCCTCTGGTCTGGTCTGCTCTGGTCTGGTCTGCTCTGGTCCCGGACCTGGTCCATTTGAACCAAAATCGTGGTTCTTGAGTGTGGAGGACTGGAGCAGCCCGTCCGGACCTGGAGTCCACAGAACATTCTCACTTTCCCGGCACAGAACCAGCGCAGACGATGACACGGAACCACTCGAACCACTGGTCTTGGTCTCAGTTCCGCTCTGGTCCCTGTCTGGTCTCGGACCTGGATCAGTCCTGGTTCAGTCCGACATCTCAGTCACCAAAGTCACGTAAACGGGAAACGGCCGTTATCCGTTTTTTCATTGTGGTTTTGGAGAAACAAAGAAAAGTGTTGTTTTTTTGTTTTCTTATTTTTGGTTTTATTTTGAAAAACGAATGAACGAACGACACACAGATTCTGGAGTTGTGTTTTGTTTCATTCACGTGTTTGAGTGACTTTTTATTTTTTGTATGAGGTCCACAGACTTTTAAAATGTCTCAAAAGTGAAATAAATCCACGGAGAGAGATCCAGGTGCAGTTCAGAACTCTGTACTGAGGAATCCATGTGTCGTTCGTTTGTTCGTTTTTCAAAATAAAACAAAAAATAAGAAAACAAATACAAAAAAAAAAAAAAATATATTTTCTTTATTTGTCTCCAAAACCAAAATGAAAAAAAAAAAACCCAAAAAAACAAAGATTTTAGAGATTCAGTTTTTGATTTTGTGTTTAAATGAAGAATGGAAAAAATAGAAAAAGGACTAAACCAGGACTAAACCAGGACTGAACCAGGACTGAGTGTCGGGATGAGCCTGGAGGTGCTCCCACATAGTCCTGGTCTGGTCCTAATCTCAGTCCTGATCACCTGACAGTCTGAGACTAGGACTGAGATTAGGACTGAGACCAGGACCAGATTGGGACTGAGACCGGGACTGAGACTGGGACTGAGACCAGGACCAGATTGGGACTAAAACTAGGACTGAGACTAGGACTGAGACTGGGACCAGTTTGGGACTGAGACTGTCAAGCCATAAACCAAGATATTTAAATTTATCAACTGCTGTAATTGGTGATGAATCGGTAAATGTCAAATTTATATCATTAACAGAAAAAGGACGGATTCGTTTCTGGAACAACATGAAATATGATTTAGATTTATTAAGTAGAAGTTTGTTTTACTGTAGCCATAATTGAACAGGATTAAAATCATGTTGAATTGAGGATTGAATCTCAGTAATATTAGATTTAGATGAATAAATAACTGTATCATCGGGTTAGGGTTAGAGTTGAATATCACAGGAAGGGGAAGGTCGTTAATAAAAATAGAAAATAAAAGGGGACCCAGTGAGGAACCTTGAGGGACGCCTCTCTCTGTTATGGAGAAATTTGAAAAGCCTTTAAAGAAAACACATTGTTGGCGGTGATGAAGATATGAATTGAACCAAAGGAGAGCGGATCTGTCAAGGCCTGTAGAACGAAGCTTGTCCAGTAAACGATAATGGTCGACTTTCTATTCTTGTTTCACTTTATAAACCATTCGATTCATCGTTAACAACACTGACAATCATCATTTTTGGAACTTTTAGTGCCTATTTTATATGATCTTTACCCTGATGATGTGTTTTGTTGGTGTGATTTAAAGTAAAAAAGTTCATCAAAACATGATACTGAGTACAGAGGCTGTAAAAAAGTTATAACACTATTGAACATGTGTTGTAGGGAGTATTATAACCGCCCCTCATGCGTCTCTCCTCAGCGTGGACAAAAACCCGTCGAGCAGGACCATCGTGACCCAGACCCTGAGCATCGCCCGCGTCTCCGCCCTTCACTTCGGGGAGCGGTACACGTGCTGGGCCAAGGGGGCGCTACGGAGACCCCGCCTCCATCACCGTCCAGCTCCAGCCCCGACGTGAGTCAAACCAACAAAGACAAAACACTACAGCAGGAGGGTCAAACTCATGTTGTTCTGGGGGTCGTGTCTGGATCAGAAAACTCATGTCATATAAACCCCAAAAATAACAAGAAGTTCAAATATTTGTGCAGAGAAACACAAATCTATTACACAAATCTTTTTAAATTGATGAACTCTTTCTTTTACAAAATATTATAATATTATGAACAACCTGAAACTTTAAGAAAAATACAATTTCAACACAATGAATGAACTTGTTTAACATTAACTTGTATAAACAGAATAAGTCCATTTTTGTTGTAAAATCCTGCACTCGGCTCCACTTTTCTCATGTTGGACATTTTTCTGATGAGGGTGTCACGGTCAACAGTCAAAACGATCGTCCTTTAAGAGCGTTTGGAAAGAGACAAGTCTTCATTTGTGCTGCTCTGGTGGGAGGGGCCACGTACAGAGACGCTGTTAGTGACAGAAGGATCTAGAATCACCTCTGTCAGACTCTGGACGCACCAGGTCGTCTCAGTCGAGTCTCAGTCGAGTCTCAGTCGAGTCTCAGTCGAGTCTCAGTCGAGTCTCAGTCGAGTCAGACGGATCTGGACCAGACCTGGAGAACCGGTGGACGGTGGGACGAGTTTGTGGAAGGAGGAGCTGATGAAAATGTGTGGAGAGAAAACTTCTATGTGAACAAAGACGAACTTGTTGATTTAAGTTTGGGACGGACATTTGATACAATTTATAACGATCGATTATCGATGAATCATTAAAGTTTTTCTATTAAAATGATCATCATTATTATTACTATCTGCACTAATCTGCATCAATCAATTCAACTTTACGACATATAAACATAACGACTCTAGATCCACATCAGCTGTTTGACATTATAATGTGTTTAATTCAGTTTTGTTCAAATCTCACAGAAACAAAACTTAAAACCACATCACTAATTTACATAAACTAAGTGAAGATAAAACTCCAGCTCTTGTGTCGCTGATGTGGTTCAACTTGTGTTGGATTAAAAGACATGACTCAGGTGAATACAGGTCAGTGTGACCAGATTTGTGTTTGTCAAAACCAGGACAGCGTACGGGGGGAGGGGGGCGGGGCCTCGTCATCCACATTGAGCGACTCTCACCTGGAAAAACTTTTTCCCACTGGACACAGAAACATATGTGCTGCTTTATCCACTGTGCACATGGACTCACACTTGTCCCAACGCAACGGAAAGTGTGGAATTTCTTCTACAAATCCTGGTTAAATCCACATTTGTGCTTCGGTTCGTTACAGACTGACCCACTGTTTGTGTCTCGCTCCTTCTGAGTCACAGACGCCACGAGAGACGATCAGTTTATTGTCCCAATGAACGGAAATGAAAACCTGAACATTTGCATCACTTAAAAAAAAAAAAAAAAAAAAAAAAAAAAAAACCTGGACGGCCAGAACAGGACGTGAAAAATGGACATGTCTGTGGAAAAAGGGATGTTTGGTCTCTATGCTACACACAGAAACCTACATTCAGTTTGTCGATTAAAAATGAACGTAATCGACAAAATTCTTCATGATCTATTATCGATTAATCGACTAATCATGTCCATCACTAGTTTAAGTAAAAAAAAACCCACACAATTCAACTCCACACACTTTTGCGTCGCCGTCTGCAGCAGATTTACTCCTGAAAAAACACTCGAATAAACCACGAAGAAAAAGTGAAGACGCGACGACACTTCTGTGTTTCTGTTCAGACGTCGTCGTATAAACGTAAACTGAGACAAAACAAATCCTCCATAAAACCTTGAAAGTGTCAGAGGTTCAGACAGAGCAGTGCCTCCAGTCAGCGTCACAGAGCTCGTCTCTTGTCTCCTCAGAGTCCGTCTTGTCCCTGGTCGCCGTGGGAACCTGCGTCTTCGTCCTGTTCGTCCTCGGGGCTTTGACGCTCAGATGTTTCGTGGTGGACCTGGTTCTTCTGTCCAGAAAACTGCTCCCGGCGCGTCTGAAGGACACGGGTGAGGACCGAGACCGGACCTGGGACCAGACCAGGGACCTGAGACCAGAGACAAGACCAGGGACCAGACCTGAGACCAGACCTGAGACCTGAGACTGGACCTGGGACCAGAGACCAGAGACGAGACCAGGGACCAGACCAGAGACCAGACCTGAGACCAGACCAGAGACCAGACCAGAGACCTGAGACCTGAGACCAGAGACCAAACATGAGACCTGACCAGGGACCTGAGACCAGACCTGGGACCAGACCTGGGACCTGAGCCCTGAGATCTGAGACCAGAGACTAGACAAGGGACCTTGAGACCAGATTTATGAAGCTGCTGGAGAAT